GACAAGCGCGAGCCCGCGAGGGAGAGGGAGGGAGCGAGGGGGGCTCACTGGGGCCGTAGGGGGAATGGCAGCGGGCTCGACGGAGGTCGGGGAGGTCCGACGAGGAGGGGGTCGAGGTGGCATTCCGACGACGGCGGGGTCGAGGCAGGGGAGCTCCGGTGAGGTTGCCCCGACGAACGGCGACGGCGGGAAGGTCCTCCAAGCGGTGGCGATGCGGCGCCGGCGTCAAGCACGTCGGGCGGCGGGGAGGAGATGAGGAGGCGGGCGTCGATGGCAGGCGGCGGGGCGGCGCAGTTGGGGGCCGGCAAGCGTCGACGGCGTCCGGGGAGGAGGGGATGAGGACGAGCGACGGAGACAGAGACGGGGAGGCGGCACCGATGACGGCGGGGGCGTGGTGGGGCGGCTCCAGCGGGGGTTCTGGATGGCGGTGGCGTCGAGCGCCCCCGATCCGATCTAGATCGTGGAGGGGGCAGAGGGGGAGTGGAGCGAGTGGGGTGGGAGTGGGCAACCGGGGGATTAGGGTTTGGGGTACGAGGCCATATAGGCCAGGGCGAGTGGGCCGGCCGAGTGGGCCAGCGGGTCGGCCAACTGGGCCGTCTAGCCCAGTTGGCCAGGGGCCTCTACTCTTTTTATTTGTATTTTGTAGTTTGGTTTTCTGTTTTTATTCTTTTCCTTTTTCTTTATTTTCTCTACTGTTTTAATTCAATTTAAAATATTTATGCATTTTATAAAGCTGTGTCCTCTACACCATAATTATCTATGTAATATTTAGTACAAATTAAACATTTTTATTTTAATGTTTGAAAACTTTTATTGTTTTCCTTTAATTAAATTTTGAAGTTGTTTCGGTTTTGAATTATGTAGAGTTTATCAACAGTAACCGAGGTGACATGGCATCATTAGCGGGGGATCACTGTAGCTTAATTATCCGGGCATCACCATGGCAATTTTTAATCATTTTTGTGTTGTTTGATTGGCACGGAAAAACATAAACAAATTTTTTAATCCATTTTTTTCTGCCCTCGTGATACAGATGCAAATTTCCATGAACTTTTCCTTTTTACTTAATATAAAAAACATCTTTTTTTTACCATGGCAAATTTTGCTTGTAGGCACGACTGACATTTTTTTGGTTTGAACCATTGGGATTTTTTAGTACTAGTTTGTTTGTCACTCTTATGTATTATGGCTAATTCATCTTTCCGTTTTCATAGGATGGTAAATCGGGGCTTTATTATCACAACAAAACTGCGTTTTTATTTGTTTATCATGCCATGAAAGTCTATGCATTTTTTAGTCTATGTATCATGATATATAGAACATTTTTTCAACAAAGTTGCCATGGCTCATGGCAAATATAGCCTATGCATCATGGAACTTATAGTGTATGGATGATGATCTGCAGAACATTTTAGTTCATGTCATTTTCTGTAACATATTCTTTATGCCCTGACAATTTAATATGTTTTCGTAAACCCTGCCATTTTTGTAAAAAATAACATGATGGCAAGTCGTAAATGTAGTGGCAACTTTTCTGGAAATTCACATAGTTTTTCCCACTTTTAAAGTTGTTGGATGGCATCGTAGGCTTTTTTTGTCACAAAGAAAAACCTGGGCTTTTTTTCTTTACTAAGCTTGTAGGGCCTAATATAGAAAAGGTCTGTAGGGCTGATAGGATGGACGTTCGGGTGGTGGCAGCGATGCGGGCGGGGAGAGCGATCGTCCCGAACGATTCATTCGGTCTAGCTGCCTTCATGCCACACTTGTGGGCAGTCCAATGTTCGTCCACACAACATCGTGTGGGCTGCCTGCGGATATGCCACATAGAATCGTGTGGTCGGGTGGGCGTTATGCCACACATGTGCCAGTTATTCGAACCCTTATTTTTTGTAACACAGTACATGAAAAAATGCAGCAAACCCCACTTTAATGTCTAGGTTAGCAGCAAATACTATGCTACATTCTTTCACAGGAAACACCACGTCTTGTGTAATCGTTTTGCAAAAACCACTATTGACAGATTTTGGCTGATCACGTTTATGACATATGGGCCCACTAGTCAGGCTGACGTGGCACCAATTTCTCACACCGTTCTGTTGACTTGTTTTGCTAGATGTGGGACCC